AGAAAACAATCCCCAGCCCCCCCCCCCCCCCGCCCACCACATAGGGAGTGTACATGTTAGTTTACCATCTAGCTTCTGGTTTGTGTGAAATAAACCAGAAGTTACATTCTACGGAGCTTCACATGCACAGGGTGGCACCTACATTGTTGCAATTGTGATCAAAGTTGCTGATTTCAAGAGCTGCCCAATTATTCCATTGTTGAACAAAAGCATGGTTTCAAACAGTTCTAATATAGCTTCTAAACCTTCAGTGAAAAGATTCCAGAAACCAGGAACATTAGCTATTCTCTAACAAAACATGCATCTGTGCCTTTGCTAGAGCTTTGCTGTCAACTTTTTGGCTGGCACAACAATGTATTCCTCACTTGGGATCCAGCTAGCACAGTTCGCCTGTTGTGTATATTGAATTTTGAAAATGGTAGTACTTTAGGAGAGAGTTGGTTTGCCTAACAATAAACATTTATTGCTAAACCAATTTATGATGACATAAAATATGAAAGCGGGCAGCTTGTGAGGAGATGCAAATGCTGACTGATCCCTCTGAGAGGTTCCTCTCTGCTCCTTCCGCTTGGCAGCTGGTAAGCCGGGGGGGGGAACAGGTGTTGTGATAATTGTATACCCCACATGACACTTCACAGTTTCCAAAGTGAGCATGCCTTTGAAATGAAAATATACCTGGGCGCACTGGGATGGTTCGCAGTGCACCCAGTTTCATTTCCCCAAAATTAAAGTGGATGGCATGCTGGGATGGTTCCCAGTGCACCCAGTTTCACCTGGAACAATCATTTTACTTCATTTCCCCAAAATTAAAGTGGATGGCATTTACTTCATTTCCCCAAAATTTGCTTCATTTCCCCAAAATTAAAGTGGATGGCATTTCCCCCTAGAATTTCTTATTGCTACTGTCCAGGTGAAACACGAGGGTTCTGCACCTATATGCATGTTGTTTTTGAGAGTGTGCATATGTTTTTTTGGGGGGTGAATAACAGTAAACTGTCATCTGAAAGAGCCTCTGGGCAGGAAACGAAGCCAGTGATCTCATAAAAAAGGGTCCTACAGCTAAGTGGTGTGGAAGTGGAAATTTCAGCATGTGCAGCCTGACCCCTCAAAATAGCACAAAATCTCCTTTCCCCCAACTCTTAAAGGTGCTGAAGCCCTGGCCTCATTTTTAATGCAGCTGCCCTGGGGAGGGTAGTGCCCTGACACAAAATATTGTGACTGCAATTCAGCGGGTGGTCTGTTTCTTCCTCATTATCCAGATTTGGTTCCTCCCCGTCACTGTAGCGGTTGGATTTCCGTGCCTCAAAAAAGGAGAGGGTTAGCGAGAGAAGGAGAAAGGTGGAAGACGGAAAAGGAGACGAGATGCTTGCCGCGTTTCCTGCACCTGTGGGACGGACGCCTCCCGCCTAGGCCTATTTTCGTCACGGAACCAACCAACCTCCCTCGCTCCCTCCCTTCCCGCGCAAATTTCAGCTTGTCGTGTGCTAAGGGGCACACAATTTTTCCCCCACCCACTCCATGTTCCTTAAATGAACAGAGGAGGCGGGGAGCGCCGCTTATTGCTATGGCAGCTGCTCAAGCGTTCGCCTGGGAAGGCGCGCTTTGCATAACAAGAGAAAGGTGTGCTGAGTGCGCGCGCGAGCGAGCGAGGGCGCTGAAGCAGGAAGGAGGCGGCGGCGGCGGCAGCGGGAGGGAGCGAAGTGGGCTCCTCCGGAATGCAACCTGCATGGCTGGGGGCTCCAGCAAGATGCAGCCCGCGTGCGACCGGGCCGCCGAGCCCTTGCTCCTGGGCCAGAGCCTCGCCGGTGCCAAGGACCCCGAGCAGCAAGTCCAGCTGCGGCAGAAGCTGAGGGAGCTGCCGGCGCTGCTCCGAAGCGGACTCACGCTGCGGAGGAAGAACTCCACCGCTGGGGGCCGGGTGAGTGGCCGGTCGCGCGCCGCTCAGAGTCGGTCGCCCCCCGGTCCTTCTCCTTGGCCGAAGGAAACTTGCCGTTCCCCGTGGCCGCGCGGTGTGTGTGTGTGGGGGAGGGGGGACCTTGTCGGCCTGTGCAGCCACCCCAGCGGGCGGGCTGGTCGGCAAAGCAAGCCCCTCGTCCTGTGTGGAACCTCTGCGGAGGTTTTGCACTTTGAGTGGCTCGAGACGACCGCAGCCCCCATCCTTTGGGTTGGTTCCCAGTTGCGCGCGGGTAATCTCCACGGGCATAGGATGAGGATCGAGGCAGCATCGTAACGGACCAGACAGGGGAGCCTTGGGGGGGGGGAAACTTGCAGGTACTGGTCGCGAGCAAGGCATCCCCACTGCAACTCTGGTTAAAGTATGTGGGATTTGCAAAGCCAGAGGTAATCCAGGGGCTTTGGGCCCTTTAGGTAGTTATTTAAAATACAATGAAGTTAGGACCTGCCACGTTAGGCCTTGTTTGGTGAGGAACCTGGGTGTCTAGGAAGGGGAGGATGCCAGAAGTACTCTTAGTTGCCTTTGGGAATGATATACTCAGGAGTAATTAGACACTCAGTGTGGTTAATAGTGATGGTACCCAGCGTGGTGTGGTGAACAGAATGATGGACTAGGATTCTGGAGATCAGGGTTCGAATCCCTTCTCCCATGAAAACTCATTGGGTGAGTGGAACTGGTAAAACCACTCCTTCTCACTTACCTGGAAGGGCCTATTAGGATCATCCCTTTAAGTCAATTCTGACTGGATGGCACATAACAACAACAATTAAGCATGCCTTCCCAGTCTTATCTGATGGTTGCTCAGAAGTCTTTCAGAGTTCAGTGGGATGTTTATTCCAAGAAACTATACCATGAATAAGACTGTTCTATCAGCCTTAAGGCATTCCTTAAAAAGTGGCCAGTGAGTCTTGTTTTGGTTGTGATGAACTGTTGTGGTGCCTTGAACATAAATCATTTTATTGAGGCGTGAATGGTGCTAGGCTGGGTATTTTTATCCTATTAGTCAGCTTCAGCTCCTCCCTCTATGCCCTATAGAACACTAGGGAGCAAAGAGGCATTCTGGCCTTATTGACATATATCTGTAGACCCCTTTCCTTATTCTGCAACCTGCTCCCACACACAACTGTTTAGCTGTATACCCTCTGCATTCAGTAAATGTTACTCCAGGCAGGTAGGCAAGCAGGCATGCATAGGGTTACATTGACATCTGACATGGACTTGTTCAAGTGACCTACTCCGTTGAAACATTCCAATAAAGGCTAAGAGAGTTTGCACCAAAGTACTGTATATGCAAGTTGTCTAGCTTGTCATTTGGTGTGCATTCTTTAGGTAACATGAATTAGAAGTGCACAAATTTGTTTTTGGATGACAACTCAAAGAATTCATAAAGCACCCTAGTTGTAGTTTAAAAACACAAATCTGCACTCCTGTAACATACATTTTTCAAACTAGCCAGCATCAGTGCCACAGAGGGTAGCTAGGGTGTATGTGACTGGCCATTTATCTGAGAGATAGGAATGTAGTGAACTGCCTTATACTTGCTCAGCGTTGTTGATACTGGTTCATCTCACTCACCAACAGTGGCTCTCCAGGACATCTCAGGACTTTTCAGCCTTACCTGGAGATGCTGAGTATTCAACTTGGGGTCTTTTGCCAGAAAAACATGTGCTTTGGCAGTGAGCTGTAGCGCTTGTTGCTCTTCTTCAATTTGTATCTAGTACTGAGCTATCATGTAGGATTCTGCTGTGGAGTAATCAGTCTGTTGACTGAACTTCAGTGTCCACGGGGGTGTGTGTGTCTCAAGATATTAAAAATATGTTTTATTCATTAAAACAAACTAATGCAATTTGGCAGATGGATGATTTTGTGACATTCTTTGGGGACTGTAAAGTTTCAGCATCTATAGACATCTCAGATCATCTGATTCCATGGTGGAATGCTTCTTACTGTAAATTTGAAATAGATTATCTTTGTAGGTCCTGACACAATACTACCCAGAAATATAGCTGAGGCTATATTTCCCCTTGTGCATTGAATTTAACTGAATGTTGCTGGTTTCTTTTGTTGTTGATTGAACTTGTATACAGTAACATAATTCTGAAGCAAGTGACATACTTCCTTTCTAGATAATGCAGACACTTATTGCAGCAGGCATTCTCTTAGAAGAGGCATTCCTTCCGTAGGCAATACAATGGACAGTGCCTTTCACAATGCAATTTTATAAGTGCCTGCATTAATGTGCCATCATGTCAATTCCAACTTATGGCAACCCCTTTCAAGGTTCTCTATGCAGAGAATACTCAGCAGTAATTTACCATTCCCTTCTTCTGGGAGCATCTGGGACTGTGCACCTCAACCAAGGCCACACAGGCTGACTCTATTTGCAGGAGGCATAGTGAGGAATTGAACTCCCAACCTCTGCCTCCACAGCCAGATACCTAACCCACTGGGTTATCCAGCTCGTGCATTCAAAATAGCAGTTAATTTTTTAAATATTCAGCTCAATTAATTGTGTGTTTTTAGCTGCTAGAAAGCCATTTGATTTTTTTAAAACTCTCTCTCTCTCTCTCTCCGTCTGTGTGTGTTTTAAAAGATATGCTTAGCTCCATGAACATGTTTGTATCAGCCAGATAATTTATTTTAGTGGTGTCATGAACTAATTGCCTAACACAGTTTGGCATTTGCTCTATGAAAGCAAATCATATGTACCTCTTATTTTAATTGTAAATACTATTGTGCTTAATTCCACAGATATTTGTAGACTCTTCATATCACCTTTTGGTTGTATTAGTGGCAAGGTTCATCATTCAAAAAAAGAGAGATAACTGTGTTTTGGACTTCTGGCATCTGAGAACAGAGGAATAATGTTGATAAGTAGATACAATACTTGTTGGATGACAACTCCCATAATTCCTAAACACTGATGACTGGGGCTTGTAGAAATTATAGTCTAGAATATCTGGAGGACACCAAGTGAGGGAAGACTGCCTTATAGGAATAGATTATACGTAGCATTCAGACACGTGCGGACGTTCTCCCCACAGTAATTCTCCTAAGTACTATGTATATGCCCCAAGCTTTGTACACATAGTAATTACTTAGGAAAATTACATTCAAGTGGCATCAGGAAGCTTTGGAATGAGGTTGCTCACAAATAACACAGTTGCCAGGCCGTATTTAAAGGCTATTTGTTAATCATGAGTAATTACTAGTGTCCTCGTCCATTTTGCAACATAGAATACATACACACACAGAGAGAAGATAAGTGACAACTACTGCAAAGGAACTGAGTGGCACAACTGGAAATGTAGCAAAAAACAAAACAATCCTGCCTCGGAGTTGTTTATTTTATAATCTGGTTAAAATCTTAAAGTGTGTGTAGACTAACAAGAATTAGATATGATAGATGCTGTGGATAGGTTTGTGATGTCCTATTTACATCATATTTACGTTTTGATCATGTAGGGTTTCTGGAAGGCTTTAGTCATCAATGGCATCAAAATATTAAACGGGCAACACCCCGTCCTCTTGTCACTGCTGTGTGGACAGTACCATCTTTTGTATGTTAGTCCAGGGAGACACCAAATATGGGTAGCAATGTGTTACTATTTTTTAAATTGTAGGCATGAAAAATATGATGGATGGGCTTAAACAATGTGCACTGTGGTGACATCCCTATAACATGGATATAGTGGAACCATTCAGGGTTGAAATAATGCAAGTCTTTAAAGAATGATGGATGAAATGCAACAAATGTCATTCTAGTTGAATGCTGCTGGTACTTTCTGAATTCAACCCTCTTGCTGTCCTAATCACTATTCTTTTAGTAATTGTGAAATAAAATTCTGGATGATATAGGAAGTGATGTTCTCAAGATAACTATTTCCTACTTTCCCAGGTGTTATAAAAATGTAGAATCATTATTTTTTTTAGTTGTGGACGTCACATCTCTTCATCTGTATTGGTAAAATGTTACAGCATTCATATTCCATGCTGAAAATTTAGTGTATGCATGTGAATATGCAACTTACATCTGTAGTTCATATTTTGTGTAGAAATACTAGTTAAAAGGAGAAGCTATGCATTTTGGTTGTTCCGGGTTTTTTGGGCTCTTTGGCCGTGTTCTTCCTTAACAAAAGCTATGCATTTTGTTAGTTGGTCCGGTGTTCAGTATTTTGCTTCTTGTTCTAAGTACAATTTTTCTAGTGTCTAAGGGACTACATAGTTGATTTGCATAGGTGTATTGCAAAACTGCTTTATGGGCAGTAGTTTGACACTTGTCCATATGATTCCATGGAAGCCAGTGACACTGTTCACTGAGAAGTAACATTGATTTTGAAACATATTGTTTATTAGTGGCCTTTACATTTGAAAATCTGAACTTTTATTGCCAGGGAAATTCAATTCAGATAATTTGTTGCAGGTGTCATTGTGTGACTAAAATAGCCCAGTGTATAATACAGAGCCTTTTCTGTTGTACTCCTCCACTTATGTATTCCTCAAGTGAAATAACTCAAGATAAGAATCTTTTACCATTTTTTCTTTAACCTTTTAACTTGTTTATGTAGAAATGGTTGAAGGCTGTGAATAAAGGCTGAAGTACTGTTGTTTGTTTGTTTGTAATATCATTAACAGTTAACATTTTCCCCAATTGGTAAAATATTGCTAACATTCCTTCTCTCCTTTTTGTTGCTTTGGTGACCACCAATGACTCATTGTAACAAGTACTTTCATTTGTTTGTTTTTGTTCCATTGTAACAGAGTTTAAATGGTTGCTGAATGAAAATCAATGCACTTGCCCTAGTTTTTAAAAGCAGGATTGGGCATGAATTACCCTTTATCTTCAGTTTAGATTTCAAATTAGTAGCTTCACCTATGCAATGCCTAGTTCAGACTTGCTCAGTTTTCACTAGCTGGTGGTTTTGAGCTAATTCTTTGTATCTGTGGTGCCAAGAGTAATTTGT